CAATGCACACATTACTCACTACCTAGATATCAAATGGTTCACCCAGAGTCAGAAAGTGCCCCGTGTTGGCAGAGTGTCTGTGTGGATAGCCCACATTCAGGAGATAATCACAGTAGTTCACAACCAGCATTTAGCCCCCTCCTTGTATTCCCTAGCAACAGGAATATTGATTTCTCCTTGTATTTTGCCCAATTATTCCCATTCCCACAAAACACACTAACATCTATTTTATCTCTTTGTAATTTGAAGCATTCATCTAAGTTTACTATAGCTCACAGTAATTTTGACCTAATAAAAAGTCTGTGGTATATAGACACCATGGAATACTATTCCGCTGTTAAAAAGAATGAAATAACGTCTTTTGCAGCAACTCATATGGAATTGAAGAATATCATCCTAAGTGAACTAACACAGGAACAGAAAACCAAATACCACAAGTTCTCACTTATAAGTGGGAGCTACACTAAGAATCTGCAAAGGCATAGAAAGTGTTATAATGGACACTGGAGACTCAGAAGGGGGAAGGAGGGATGAGATGTAGGGATGAAAATTCACCTGTCAGGTACAATGTGCACTGGTGGGAGTAGTGGGTATACTCAAAGTTCAGACTTCTTCACCACTACACAGTACAACCATGTAACCAAAAACTATTTGTACCCTCTAAAGCTACTGAAACAAAGAGAAACAATTTTTTGTTTCTTCATGCCCTCGTGTTCCCAGGATTAATAAGGGGTGGTGGAGGGTGATGGAACAACAGCCCACTTTATGATTATGTTTAAAGAATAAAACTCTTCTAATCACACAATGTGCTTTCTGATTTATTCTTAAGAGTAAACTGCAGCCTATCCAAATAATGCTAATACATTCCAAAAATACACATGAATTGTGGTTGCTCTGGATTCAAAGTATATTTCTTCTCTGTGCAGTTCTGCAGATTTTAACCATACCTTGTATTTAACTTGTTAGAAAGAGGTAATAGAAGAATCATAGCTTGGTAGAATCCAGTCTACCAGGAAGTTAGCTCTAACAGTTAACACAGAAATGTTGAGTCTGCTATTTAAATCTTCAGCAATCTGTCCTTAATTTCCAAATATAAATAGTTTGAGTGCAAATTCCAGAAGGGCATTTTGACCTAACATCGACAGATCCTGGTGCTTCCACTTGACTGAGTTTTAGAAGACTGTGCCTTCTCCCTCGTCCTTCCCCTCCCCCACCTCTCTTCCGGCTTCTTTCAGGACAATGAATGTCATCCACAAGGGCTGATGGGAATTGTTCAGCTGGCTATTTGCAATGACCCCAAGAAAATCACCTCACCATAACCTTTTGAAAACAGGCCACAGACAACCCCAATTACCAGCACTAACACCCACAATTCTGCCTTGCCCCAAATTTTCCGATGCACTGTTTGCCAACTAAGTGACATTTCATTTTTATTTATTTTCCTGTTTTCAAAATATAGCATTTGAGGCTGTCCTTCTCTCTCTATCGGAGTCCCCAAGGAGGAGGATTGATGCTGGGCTTGTAAACTGTGGCATTTACTTTAAATAAAATGACAGGAGTGTCCGCTCAAATTAAAAGACTAAAACTTTACGGAACAGCTCTGGGGGCCAGAGGTTGAAAAGCAAAAAAGCAATGATATGTGTATGAACATCTCTCTAGTTTTTGAATAGCAATTCTCAATAGCAATCAAGACATGAATGGCATTTTTTTTGTTGTTGAGAAAACCACAGTGAACATAATGAAGAGATAGCACACATCCTACTAATAAAACCACAGAGCCCTAATTCTTCACAAGAAAAGGCTTAGGTGATAAAGATCTTTTTTTTTTTTTGAGTTGGAGTCTCACTCTGTCGTCCAGACTGGAGTGCAGTGGCCGCTCCCGGCCACCGCAGCCTTGACCTGCTGGGCTCTGGCGATCCTTCCGCCTCAGCCTTCCGAGTAGCCGGAATTACAGGCATGCGCTACCACGCCTGGCTGATTTTTTTTTTGATTTATTGTAGAGATGAGGTCTCGCTGCCCAGGCGGGTCTCGAACCCGCGGGCTCAGGCAATCCACTCACCTCAGCCTCCCAAAGGTGCGGGATTACTGGCTGAGCCACCGAGCCCAGCTGATAAAGATCTTTATAACGTTCATATCATGAACTCTAAAGTCACAGCTGACCATAGCTTTGCATAAGAGGCCCTCTTGGGCCAGTTCCCTCTTCATTGTGGGGACTTGACCAGGCACACCAATGTGCACTTTCTCTACATCTCTTTAGAATTCTTGTGTGTCAGCTCACAGGTACATGAAACTTGAACCCAACACTTCAAGTAGCAGAAACATCTTTTTCCAATTCATTTCCCCAAGGGGCTAGCTTGGCTGAAACATCTGAGTTCCCTTGTTGGCCACATCCTTGCCACTCTCCACTGAGACTAGAGTTGCCATCTTCCCATCTCATTTTCAAAGGCCTGAAGGCATTTCGGCTCACTTATTGTTCAGTCTCCGCTTCCACTCTGATAACAGAAGTGGGCTCCTGATATCCCTCTAGCCATAGTTGGTGTCCTTTTCTTAATGGGAGTGTTGACCTGCCTCCCTCCCCTCCTCTCTCCCCATCAAGACTTGCGCAGCTCTCTAACACAAGGGTCAGCCAGGTTTTTCTGTGAAAGACCAGATAACAAGTGGCCCTGTGTGCCATGCAGTCTCTGTTGTGATTACTCAATGCTGAGATGTACTGTGGAAACTGACAAGACATCCATGAATGGGTGTGGCGGTACTGTTGTAACACTTTGCTTATGGTCCCTGAAATGTGAATTTCATATCATTGTTGTGTCAGGAAATATTTTTCTCAACCCTGAAAACAATGTAAAAACTATTCTTAGTTTGTAAGCCATAGAAAAAAAAGACTGCAGGCCAGATTTGGCCCCATGGCCATAGTTGGGCTACTCCTGCTCTAATCCATCTGGACTGCCCTCTTGTGAGCTATTTCCAGAGTAAAGACAGGCTGTAGGTAAGAGAGAGGCAGCAGGCATCACTGTGGGAACACTAACCCTTCCCTTCTCTCCCACAGATGTGGGAAGTGGGGGGGCAAAGGGGAGGCGAGGTTGGATTGTATGAATTAAGAGAAACTAGGATTACCTGTCTCAAGGCTGTTTTTTGACAAGAACTTCTGGAGGTGGGAGAAGGGGCCACGGAGGTATGGGAGTGGGGAAAAGTCTTAATGTGATTCACCCGGGCATGCAGTAGTACATCAAGAGAAATGCCCCTGACCAGGGGAAGCTATTGTAAGAACTGTCCTGGCATCGTGCTGGGCACAGCCCTCCCTTGAGAGTCTTCTGAATTATCCCTCAGACTCTGCAGGGAGCTGGAGATAAAAGCAGCTGCAGGGGAGCAGGACCTGGAGCATCATAGAGAGATTGCAAAAACAATTCACTGCCAACAGACTGTCCCAGCAGGGTCCCAGTGCTATGGTCGTGGCCCTGATTGGCACGCTGCCCCTCGGATGCCCAATTAGATGGAACTGGAGGAAACTGAATGCAGAGGCAATCTACTTGAGCTCTGCTTGACCCCCCAAATGAACAGCATGGGAAACTGAGTCTGAGCTCATGAGTCAGTCCTGGGCAAGTTCCTAATCCCATCTCTCACTCCAAGTGACCCATCTGTGGCTGGGGTTTTGGGGCTAGGACAGAGGGAGGGGTCTTAAACTTGATAGCTGGAATCAAAGGTAACCTCAAGGGCTCAAGGGGGTAAACATTAGTTTAGTTGAAAACTTTGAGGAGAGTTTCCGTGTAGGTGAGGATTAGCCAACTTGGTATGAAATGGATCCCAGGTTTGATTTAATTAAACAACAAAAACAAAAACTGGAGGTAAAATGATGCTCCAGTCTATAACTTTGTAATCTTGACCATCTGAGAGATAAGGAAAGCCAAAGACCATTGGCTCCCACTTCCTCTATCAAAGGGATAATTAGGTACATTCAACCTAGTATTGTCCTATCCCAAACCACAGTAACGACCAAAAAAACAAACAAGAACAAAAATAAAGCAACTTCAAAATTATTGCTTCTTAACAAAGAAAATGATTTTTTTGAGTCAGAGTCTCACTCTGTTGCCCCTGTTGGAGTGCAGTGGCACACTCACAGCTGCTGCAGCCTTGACCTGCTGGGCTCCGGCGATCCTTCCGCCTCAGCCTTCCAAGGAACTGGAACTACAGGTGCATGCTACCATGCCCAGCTAATTTTTTGATTTATTGTAGAGATGAGGTCTTGCCAAGTTGCCCAGGCTGAACCCATGGGCTCAGGCAATCCTCTCACCTCGGTCTCTCAAAGTACTGGGATTATAGGTGTGAGCCACCATGCCTGTCCAGAAAGTGACTTTTAAAAAACATTACTGGCTAGGAAGCTTATATAGAGAGGTGACTGAGTGAGAATGGAATGGGACCAGGGGAGGAGACATCTAACCATGGCAGTGGTGACAAGAAAGGTCAGGAGCTCTGTGATGGGGCTGCGGGACAACCAGAAGATGCTCCAACCTATTACAGTAGTCCCTGCTCCCCAGGGAGCCTGGGAGTCCTGCCTGAATCTAAGCTGGTCTAAAATAAGTGAGTTTACATTGTTGCCAGCAAGCAGAGATCCAGCAATCCACTCAGCTAGGAGAGGATTTAAAAGGCAAGAGTAGCAGACCACAGTGATCTGGGGTGCTTGCAACCCTCAGGCACTGACAATTTCCCATGCGTGTACATTTCTTCCTCCCCAAGATTGGTAATTTGGATGGATTTTCTTATCTGCTCCCGTCTCTTTTCTCCCAACCTGGAATCCTGGAAAGAAGAGAAAGTTCTTTCCAGTGAAGGAACCTCATTTTTCCCTTTCCCTATCCCCGGGTTGATTTGGAGAGGCAGCGGGATTGTTGGAGAGCACTTGTGTCCCTGAAAGAACAGCCAGTTGCCATGCGCGACCGTCACTATAGATCTACGATTTATGAAAATAAAGCAATATGTGCCTGTTTCGGTGCCTGCCGTTTGCCTACCAATGGTGCAGTGTTCACCATTCCAGCCCTCTCGGCATTCACATTTGCCATCTTTACAGGTCCCGTGCTCAATGCAGCGGGGGTGGCACACGCGCTGGTCACACGCTGCACCTGTCCAGCCCTCTTCACAGCGGCAGGCTCCCCCGATGCAGACGCCGTGAGTGCCACAGTCTACTGAGCACACTTCTGGAAAAAAAACAATGATTACAGCTCAACACCACCGCTGGCGAAACCCTCCATGGAGTCCAGACCACACACGTGGCTTGGGCCCCTAGAGCAGGCCCGGAGGCCCAATGGCTTTTGGAGGTTTGTCTCTCTGCTGGCAGGGTATGAATTTATCATTATGTCTTTTCTCTAGAGCCTTGGTTCTCAAAGTGTGGCCCCTAGACCAGCCATGTCAGCATCACCTGGGCACTTGTTAGAAGTGCAAATTCTTTTTTTCTTTTTTTTGAATAGAAGTCTCACTCTGTCGCCCAGGCTGGAGTACAGTGGCATGCTCACAGCCACTGCAGCCTAGACTTGCTGGGCTCAGGCGATCCTTCTGCCTCAGTTTTCCGAGTAGCTGGAACTACAGGCATGTGCCATTGCGCCCGGCTAATTTTTTGATTTATTGTAGAGACGAGGTCTTGCCAAGTTGCCCAGGCTGGTCTCGAACCCCTGGGTTCAGGCAACCTCTCACCTCAGTCTCCCAAAGTGCTGGGATTATAGACATGAGACACCGTGCCCAGCCTAGAAGTACAAATTGTTATGCTCCTGTTGGACCAAGTGGATTAGAAACTCTGGGAGTAGGGTTCAGAAGTTTTGTCGGAACAAGTCCTCCAGGTGGAGCATGAGAACTACTCTTCTAAAGCCTGAGATCATTCCAACCAGAGGGCAAAGGTAAGTGGGAAATACCCACCCGGAAAGGCACACCTTGTGGATCCTGACTTCCTAGCCAGCTGGGATTCTTGCCCCCTGGAGAGCCCGAACTGACCAAGCCCGAGAGGCCAATTGGGGACCCCACTGCTCCCCAGTCTGCAAACCCACCCGTTACCCAGATCGGCACCTTGGCGGCATAATGACCGCTGCAATTGCTGCTCTTACACAACCTCATTCTCAAAGGAGCTCAAAGTCTTTTGTGCTTGGGAAGGAGACAGACAGACAGATATGCACTCTGGCATTCCAGACCTCTCACGCGAGGACAAGCACGTGGCAGACATTCATCCTTCCAACAGCCTACTGAGGGAGGCATGTCTGGGCATGCCGGGGTAGGGGAAGCCAGACCACAGGAAAGGGGGGTCAGTGACTCACTCAAAGTCACACAGCATGTCTATAGTTAAACTGTGCTTTGGATCTAGGACCCCGCCTTCCATGCTCTGCAGGTCTTTGGCAGGTCCACCAGCCTCAGAGTTGAAGCCAGAGTCCAGTGGGCTGAGAAGACATCCCAAAATAGCTCATTTGAACTGACTCTTTTTTTTTCTTTTTGGAATAAAATATTCATATTCTTTTCCATTGTAGGCAAAGCTTCACATAGATTCCTTTCCTGATTGCCATGGCAATCTGACAGCTGTCTCACTACCCAGAGGAAGGGGGTGGAGTGAGGATTGCTTGCTTGGATAGGCACTTGTCAGGGTAAACAGAACCTTTCTCAGGTAGGTTGGACCTGGCTTGAACTGTTGAACTGCTCCATTTTTAAGGTCACTCAGGAGATAAGACATATACTCTTAGTTTTAAGGAAATAAAGTGTACAGTGCGACTTCATTATTTTCCTGTCACTGGAATATGGCAGAGCTTTAGAACATGTTCACACAGAACCCCCAGGGAGCCTCTTTTTTGTTTTATAGGACGTTCCATTCAGTGTGTCTAAATTGTTCTGTTTTGCTTTCTGGTACCTTTAGGGAGTATACGATAGAAAATCTAGAATGGAAACAGAAGCGACCCCCAGGCCCTATATCCATTTGTGGTGATGAAACCAACCAGGCACGAGAACCAACGTGGGGTTTTTGTTTCTCAAAGATCACAGATCACGCCACAACTGAGGAGAAGAGTGTGAAAAAGGCGCTACGTCATTGACCAAAGTCCCCTTGTCCCAAGCTAAGTGTTAGAAATGGATTCCCAACCACCTAGGAATGGGACAGAACATGGGCAATGAGTATCAGGGAGAGGAGGGAGAAAACCTCTTGGCTTACCGACAGAGCAGTCGGGACCCATCCAGTTGGGATCGCAGCTGCAGAGGCCTGTGTCGGGCAGGTATGTGCCATGCCCACTGCATTGGTCCGGGCACTGAACCCTCGCCAGCTCACAGTTCAGACCACCCCAACCAGGGCTGCATAGGCATTCTCCATTCACACAGACCCCATGACTGGAGCAGGTGGGATCCAAGCAGTCAACTGGAAAAAAAAAAAGAGCAAAAATATTGATTGCCTGTGGTGGATGGGCTATGAGACATTGGCTTGCTCCTGAATGCACCATGGGTCCCCCAGTTCCTATCCACTTGCAATCAAATAGAGCAGCCTGGAGAATACTTACACTTATGTGGTTTTTTTTTAAAAGAACACTTCTAAAAAATAGAAAACTTTTCATTTGTCAAAACACCAAATCTCAAACTTGAAGAAGACACAAGAGGAAAAGAGTGAGTTGACAAGCAGAATTAGGAGAAATCAGATACAGAGGTGTGTAATTATTCCACCTTTAGAACTAGTGCCTATAAACATCAGTACGTTGACTGAATCTTATCAGAGCTTCTGTGACTTGGATGTGAATACCTCCAAGGTCTGTACCTATAACATCAAACTGGATTATCCCTCACTATAGGAGAGAACAGTGGGGAGGTCTTCTAACTACTAATACTTTACAAAAGACAACAAAAGATTAAAAATAAAACCTATGACACTTATAAATGAGTCACTTTCCTAATTAAGTTTCACTTAGGCTAAGTCTAAAATTACTTTTCCTTCTCTGAGCTCGCACTTACTGAAGGAGTTAGTAAATGTGCAAGATGGAAGAGGTGACGTTGGGTATGAAAATGATCCAAAGGTTACCTATCCCCACAGGTAATCATGAGTGGACTGGATAAGCATCTTTGGCCATGGCACTGACCTTCTGCCAGACAGTCAATTGGACGAGTGAATGGTCAAATTCTAGTCATTGTGCTTCTTGTCTGTTTCATGGTCTGATGGTTTGACCATCTTAATAATCAGACAGAGTGGATATACATTCAATAGGTAACTTGAAGATTATTACTAACGAGCCAACTCAAAATGAAGAGAGGAATGAACTGCCAAGGCCAGTTCTTGAGGACAGGCTTTTTTTTTTTTTTTTCATGAGAATGTGATTGCAAACTTTGGATCTCTATTCAGCTTAGAGGTTGGATAAATGGGGATTTTAAGAGGAAGCCCAAGCGTGCTCAGGAAATGACCAAGGGCATTTGGAGAAGAGGGCTCTGAGCAATGTGGGGCTTGAATGAGGAACAGAGTTCTTGCCCAAGGCTCAGATGTTGCTTTGTGGATCAGATAAAAGGGGACCTTATTTAAGACATATTTCCCCCATTTTAACAGCTTTGACATTGGGCTTGTTGGCTGAGATTAAAGCATTGCTTCTTCTAGCATCTGGGGGCACAGGTAGCTTGAGACTACTTAAAATTCTGCCCATGAGGTTTTTTTGGACCACACTGAGGGTGTAATTCAGTTCCTTGTGTGAGTGTGTATGTGTGTGTGCCACCTTATATTCAAATTCTCAGAGAAAATTTTATTTTCTCTCCTTGCCTAATGCCAAGATTGAAATATGAAAGACTTTGGTCTCTAAAGGATTCAATATTACACTGAGTTGGTAACCCCCTGGGGTCCCAGCTTTTTGTAGGGTTTCCTATTACATTCTCCATGTTGGGTATCTTGCTTTTCTTTCATTTGGAGTGAAAAATAATAGTGTGCTTACTATTGATGAAACATTGGCTGTAAATATTACACTATTGAGATTAGTCCTGGGGGACATCAGACTTGAGGAATTTGGACTTATTAGAAACCATAATATTCCATAAAGCATCCAAAGAACACACCTCCCTTGAGGCAAATAATAATGTTCAGTGTTAAGAGATAGTTCTCACAATCCCATTCGATATTCTCAGAAAGATATTACTTGTGGAATTCAGTTCAAAATTGTTTGAGCCATGGGGGAGGGACAATGATTTAAAGAAAAAAAACAGGAGTACACGCCTAGCAAGGTGAATTTTAGTGACTTATTATTAGCCAGAGAAGTTTATAATGATGTTATATGATCTGGTTACAATCACTTTAACACTGGATTCATTGTCTTGGGGAACATAACTCCTCATGATACAAACCCTTCTGGTACCTTCATATTTACTCTATAGAGGGTTGTGGGACACATCCAGATGTAAATTTGAGCTGAAAACTTCAAACACATAGAAGACATTTACAAAGCGTTGTACAGGCCCTTAGCGTCTCATGCCTAGTGCAGGTCAGGGGAGATGTTCAATACTAAGGTGTTCAATACACAACTGCTGCAAGAATGAATTACAGACTTTGCTATAAGCACATATTGTCAGTGGGACAAACTTCAGTGTGAAGGACTGATAGGAAAGAGAAGTGGTGCTAACAGTTTCTTGCTTCTGGAAAAAATTCATATTTTGTGATATGCAAATTATGAACGAATTCACTTAGAACCAATCATATTCATATTTTCTAATAAAGGAAATCCTGAAATTCTAGTATTTTTTTACTCTGTCCCCATTTTTAATATAGCAAAATCAAAATAGACACAAAACTATCTTGTGTGTTATTGCTTCAAAAATTGCTGTCAACCTATAATTAGTCATTTAAAATGTTTGGTGAGGTGCCAACAGCTAGGCGCTTTCAAAAAATATATCACGATCTTTTTCATAGAAGGATGAAATAATAAAAAGTAATATACTAAAAAAAATGAAAATGGCATTTTTCTTTCAGATAAATTGACTCTCTCTTCTCTATCCCTGAATTATGGTATAAAGGAAGGAGGAAAATTCACTGAAATTTATTAGCCCAATACTAGAATGCCATCAAAAAAACATTTATTGTGTCTAAAAATATGAGCTACCTTTTCTCTGGTCAGTGATACCAGTAAATATGCCCTTTGTGCTGTATAATTACAGCAGTTGATGGGATAACTAAATGCAAGCTTGAAGAGAGGCAGTTTTACTATGAATTTTAAATTTGGTTCCAGTTTCATAAGATGGTCTTGTGGCCAAGTCCTCAGAGTCTTTAGCAGCAGGAGGGACTATGGCATTTTACGAAGCTTTATAAATAGAAACAGTGTTATACTTAAAAGGGGGACAGTGGCCTTTGCCAGCTAAGTACCATGTGCCGTGAAACACCAGCCCCCTGGCAGTTGAAATCATTAGAACTCATTTAGTCTTGGGCCCTCTGTAGGTTTGACAAAAAAGGGTTGTGAATGCTATTTCTATCCCTAAGGATAAAAAAGGAGGTCAAGGAGTTTTACAAACAATATGTACTGTAAACCCCCAAAGAACCATGAATTACATTTATGAAGTTAAATGTCATTGAAAAATGACTCAACCATGAAACTGACATGAAAACATGGTTGACTTAAACTAATATGTCAATTCCCCTCTCATCACTTTCCCACTCCCCCAGACATCGTTGAATGAAATCTCGGAATACATCCTTTCATTTTCTTGTGCAAATTTGTTAATCGTACAACAATGTGTATGCAGCAAAAACGCAGGATGGCAACTATTGATTTCGTTGCCATGGCCGTTTCAGGTAAATTGTTTGAACGTTTTGACTATGATGAATATCAGAAATAAAAAAGCTAAATGGAAGAAAAAATGCTGATCCAGACTTTCTGATCCCATTTCCTATTTTGAAAACAGCAAATGAATCACCTTGGCTCATTCTTTTGGGGTAGCAGAAATCAATAGAGGAGGCTTCATTCTGCCATAATGATCCACGTGGCTTGCTTTTTTGGTCGGATGGCAAATTCACCCTGAACATTTAAATAAGACTGGGTGGGACAGTGAGAAAGTTGAGGAGTCACTTGCAATTCCTCTCATACAGCCAGGCACGATCTTTACTGGAGAAAATAAAAATTCGAAGACTGGCAATGTTGTGGCCCTAGTGCCTTCCTCTTCCCAAATGATGTATGCAGAAGGTCGTTTTAACCTTTCTTGTCATATTATTGGCCTCTCCCATGTTTTCAGCAAATGCAGCTTTACCTCCTGCAATCCATTTATCTTTAAGAACTTTAACCTTTCAAAGAGGGTTATTAAATCAGTATTTCCTCCATCCAAACTCCCAATTTGGTTTTATGATGCAGACGTAGGGAAGCCAACTTTTATAACAGAAAAAAATATATATACAGAGAATTGAGCAAGTGAAGATCTGAGGGTCAGACTTCTGGGCCCCATTAAGGGAATTACCACTAATATATTGAAAAATCTTAGAAGAAACACATCATGGAAGCCGACTCTTTGTAGCCATAGCTCTGAAAATGATAGAATGGGGGATATCACAAGGGAAGCCTATGTGGGTGTACCTGAGGCTAAGGCACTGTCGTTATGTTGTGAGGAGGACTGCGATGATCGTTGATTTTGTATAGAACTCTGGAGACCCACAAGTTAATGGGATGGGAGAAGGGATCCACTAGCATCTGAGAACCTCCTGGAACTTGGGAATCCCTCACTCAGCCTGGCCATGAGAACCTGAGAGAGAACACAGGATGTGGACATATGGTGTCCAATAGGATATTCTTTTTAATTAATTAATTTTTAAGTGATGGGGTCTCACTCTGCCACCCAGGCAGGAGTACAGTGGCAACATCATAGCACACTGCAGCCTTGAACTCCTGGGCTCATGGGATCTTCCTGCTTCAGCCTCCCAAGAAGCTAGGACTATAGGTGGGCACCAACATGCCTTGCTAACTCAAAATTTTTTTTTTTGTAGAGGCAGGGTCTTGCTATGCTGCCCAGGTTAGTCTTGGATTCCTGGCCTCAAGCCACCCTTCCTGCCTCTGCCTTCCAAAGCGCTGGGTTTACGGGCATGAACCCTTGTGACCACCCAGATAAGATCTTTTCTATGGGGTCATCCTGGTGGTCATCTCTGGCTGTCTCACACAAAGTAGGCAAGTGGGCTTCACTTCCCCTCAGTTTGTTAGGCGAGTTAACACTTCTGTTTCCACTGGGGACATGGGAGGGAGCAAGGCTGTTTGAGCTGCATGAGGACATTTCACTGCAAGATGAACTTAGAGAAAAGGATCCTTAATGAGAAGCCAATGATGGAGCCAATTTCAAGGTTGGGAAGTGGATAAGGGGCTGAGAGGGCCCGTGGTCTTACCTTCCTACCAACTGTGGATGATTCTTTATTGGTGAGATGCAATCGATAGGCAACCAGAGACCAAATTCTGGAAGGGCAAGTACAGGGTCAGAAGGCTGACAGGTGACAAGGCTGAGTTATCTTGCCTTATAGGTACTGAAAGTTGCTCCCAATGCCTTGGTTCCAAACTACTCCTCTGAAATAACTAATCAAAGTAACTTGGACGAGTTCAGAACCCCTCTGGAGAGGTGCTCTTTCTCCCTGCTCTTGCACTCCCTCTCCTGTGTCCCCCTCTCCTGGTCACCAAGCCTGACCACTGACCATATTTTGTCAGATTGGATTCAGTTGATGACATCCCTGATTTTTACCCATGTGTGCTGGAGGTCTGCTAGAGTGAGATCTTCAGGAGTCAACAGAACCCAGACCTCTTGCTGTAGGCTCCCTCTCTTCCAACTCTGTGAGATTTTAGGTAAGCAGGATGATTTGCCCTACATGGTGTTTCCAAATGATGTGGATACCTGCAGTCCTTAAAGCCTGGCTGCTCTCTGATATTAATTTTTGCTGAAATATTTGCACAGATGTACATAGGTCTTAGATTACCGGGAGGAGTTAACGAACAAACAAACCAAAACCCAAAACAAAACAAAGAATTAGCTTTGAGGAAGACAGAGGGCATAAAGATTCTTGTTTCTTTTCTCTGGATAGCTTTAGTAATTCCAGTTCAGAAGACTTTAAAGAAGGCAGGAGAAAAGAGGGAGGAAGATAGCGGGAGGAGAAGGGGGAAAAAAAAGAAAATAAAAGAAGGAGAAGGAAGGAGAGGTAGAAGGAAAGAGAAGACAGAAAGACACATGAAGGCAGAGAGAGCAATTTACAGAGAAAAGCAAAGAAGAAACCAATTTTTAAAAGGAGGGTAAAACAAAACATGCCTTCCAGAATCATCCCCATAGGTTTTTTTCCTGTTCTACAACTAAAGAAGTCCACCAGCGCCAAGGGGCTTGAAGTTTTCTGCACAAAATGTTGAAGCATCGTTTGCAAAAATGTTGAAGCTTCCTTGCAAAACAGAGCCCTGGACTGGGCTCATTAGCAAAGGTCGGAGCCTGCAAACGTCTCCCTCCACTGCTGCCCAGTCGGGCCCTGCGGGCTTACCTTCCTCACAGTGCTCGCCTTTGTAGCCGGCAGAGCAGACACAATTCCCATCAATGCAGGAGCCGTGGCCCCCGCAGGAAGGATCGATGCACTGATTCATGGGCACGTCGCACTCCGCGCCTTTCCAGCCGCTGTAGCACTGGCACGTCCCTTTAGAGTATTGTCCATTCCCGCTGCACAGGACGGGGCAGGCAGCTGCACAAACCAAAGAGAGAGCACAGGTCACCAGGGTGAGCATTGGAGGGGCTGGGACAGACTCGGGTAGGAGAGCTGCCTGGTCTTGTGGTTTGGCTTACACGGTTCCAGGCTGGGGACTTTGGCCGTGGAGGTGCAGAGCCATCTTCAGATAAACAGCAGAAGTGCCGTTAATGACAGCAGCTATTGCCCATGAAATGCTTAATATGCGCTGGATGTGGTAGAGAAGGCTTATGTGCAATCTGCGACTTCATCATCACAATTTCCCCATGAGGTGGAGGCCATAGTCATGATGCCCATTTTACAGATGATGCTCAGACTGGTGAGGTAACTTGCCCACAGTCACACAGCTCACAAGCAGGAAGCCCAGGCTGAAAGTAGATTGACCCAACCCTAAAGTGGTGCCCTTCACTAAGCGACATTTACTTTCTTGTTGCTGTTATTGTTGGTGGTTTTGGGGACCAGAATCCATTTTGCTGATTATTTTACCCTCAGATGAGTCAACTCCTATTCCTGATAAATTTCACATCTATTAAGAAGGAAAGGGGATGGGATACAGTGAGTCACTTAATCTTTCTCTGCCTCTGTTTCCTTATCTATACCACGAAGAAATACAGAAGTCCCCCCTTAATTCATGATTTTGCTTTTGTGGTTTCAGTTACCTGGGGTCAACTGCAGTTGGAAAATCAGTTGAGTATAAGCTATTTCGAGAGAGAGAGAGAGATCACATTCATGTCACTTTTATTATAATACATTGTTATAATTTCTATTTTATTATGGTCTATTGCTGTTAGTCTTTTACTGTGCCTAATTTATAAATTAAACTTTATTATAGATATGTATAGAAATAAACACAGGGTTAAAGATTCTATATAGTGTTCAGTACTATCAGAAACTTCAAGCATCCCCTGGGGTTCTTGGAATGGATCCATGTAGATAAGAGAGGATCCACTGTAATTGTGCTTACTTCAAAGTTTAACACATGTAATCAGGATTAAATGTGTCTGGATTATTTAAAAAAAGGAAAGGGGCAGGCAGGCTGAAGATATGAAATCTCTAGTATTTCATGACTCATCATGGACCCTATTGCATTCATTGGTGGAAGAAGGTTGAAAATCAGTGAAGAGTGTCTGGTTTAGGAGGGGACCTACAGTTTTTATTGACTTGGGCTCCATTGTGCCAATTCCCCCCTTTCAGAGTTCACCAAGAATGGGATTTATTTCAGTGGCCTCCTTCAGGTTTGGGCTTCTCCCTTCTGTATCAGTTTGTAATGTTTTCCTATCTGTCTTCTAATTTGGGACTAAAATGAGAGTAGAGTAAGTCCCCTACAAACAAACTTTCTAGTTACAACTTTCAAAAATGCGAAGGTGTGCTTGCATGTCCAATCATGCAAGTTAGTTCATGTGTCTGTGGTACATTGTCATACATGTGCCTCCTTTACAAGTGGTTGTGCTTTTGTATACAGTATCTTTACTTCAAGCCCACGATGTCCAGAAGCAAGTGTAAAAACAGCAGTGATGCAGCTGGTACTGAATAGCCGATTTTGATAGTTGGGTACCTAGGCTCACTTTGTTGGATTAACAATCAAATTAGACTTACAAATGCACTCTTGTAATGGAACTCGTTCATATGTAGGGGACATGCTATATTGCTCCAGCGATGGCACTTGGCATTTAGAGTCCTCCTGAAATGACTGACGCGGATGGTTCCATGACTCCTGGTGTTCTCCATGATTTGAATAGCAGCTTCTGAGAATTCTACACGTATGTGTACACACACCCACAACCTGAGTGGTCGCCCTGGTCCATGAAGCAATTGCATATCTAATCATATCATGTCCCAGTCAACTGCCCCATCTGCTGTATTAACCCCTTGTGTTGTCATGTTCCTATTTAGCTTTTATGGGAATTAACGTTCCTCTGTCAGGGTCTAATTTCTCAAAGATATGGTCAGCTACTCAAGGACAGGAACTGTTTATCATTGTTGATTTCTTTCCAGTACCCCATTCATCAACGTTGGCTTGATTAGGTAAACATTTCTCCTGCACTCCTAATATTCAGAGATTCCCAAATGGTGGGATTATAGGTAAGCATGAACTGGCCATTTATGAAAGATACACAGTGGCTCAGCCTGTAATCCCAGCGCTTTGGGAGGCCGAGGTGAGTGGATGCCTGAGCCCACGGGACCAGCCTGGGCAACTTGGAAAGATTTTGTCTCTATAATAAATCAAAAATGAGCTGGGTGTGGTAGCACATGCCTATAGTTCTGGTTACTCGGAAAGCTGAGGTGGAAGGATTGCTGGAGCCCAGCAGGTCGACACTAGGGTGACTGTGGACATGCCAATGCACCCTGGCCTGGGCGACGGAGTGAAACTCCAACTCAAAAAAAAAAAAAAGAAAGATACAGAAAGAACAGTTCTTGGAGTGGTCCTATGCTACACACACAAGCATTTCTAGGGAAGTGTATGTTTTACTTTAATTGCAAACTGACCTGAAATATAAATATCTCAAGAGTTGCCATATGTTTGAGGAACTATTTTCCCCAAAAATGCTTTATAATACAACAGTTGTAAAAATGATTGGGGGAACTAATTCCTGTAGAATTTTTACCTTTATGAATCTACCAGAGGAGAAGAATGAGTTCAAAAGTGAGCACATTAAAGCCATGCATTAAATTTTGAAGAACTCTCTAAATGTAGGGCTTATACTTTCTGCTTCCAGGATGCTTAAATGGAGGGCTCTGTTCAGAGCTGCTACAGATGCTGATTGTCTAAGAGAGAGTAGAAGAAAGAGCTTGGAACTCAGAGTGTTTAAGACTTAAGTTAGAGACTGTGCAAAGATGAACTAGCTACAAGAGATTGTGGACTTTCTTGAAATTTTGAGAGGGATTTAAGACAGAGTAAGTCTGTTGCATGTCAGTTCCTCATGAGACTCATGCTAAGCTCTAGGTCAGGAAGAGCAAGTGTGTGCCCATAAACTACATTACTCTTCTTTCTCCCCACACCTCTGCAGACATCATTAATCAATCACAGCATCTTGTTCTCCTGAGCCTAGACAGAACCTCAAAATTTCCAGTGCGGTGCCCAGGCTGAGATCAGCAAGCAGGCAGAGTTGGTATTCAAGAGAAAACCTACTACGTGTCATTTCTGATCTAGGTAATTTTGAAGGTATCTCCTGGTGGGAAGACTAGGACAAACATCACTGCTCACCCTCCTTTCCATCCCCGTACACTGAGATAAGAAAACAATGAGGAGTGTGGCTACACAATGTGCAGTTAGATGAATTTCCAAGGGCTGTTCCTGACCCGAGAGTTATATCTTGGATGAGCTGTCGTAGATGGCAGAGAAAGTTACACCGAATCACCAACACTGGTCTCTTATTGCACCCTCCTTCCTCCCAAAAGGTAGAGGAGGGCAGAAAGTAAGGAGAAATTAATTGATAAAATATACTTCAGATTATTTTCTTTATTCATAGTGACACTGTTTCTTTTCTGCATGAACTCTAAGTGGAAAAAAAATAGGATTATCTAGAAGATAAGAATGAGTTTTATTTAAAATCACGTACCTGGGAAATCAAATTTAAAATGTGACCTACTTAAATTACTCAGGGAAAAAAATAAAAATATAGTCAGGTCAGAGAGTTCTCCACATTCTAAATGCAGCCTCCCTTCAGTATGTTGGCTGCATGCTTGCTGGGAGTGTTGTCAAAAATGCAAAACACTGGAAAGCAGGGCACTCGGTGGGCTTGGCTTAGGTCACACAAAAATGTGGAAGGTGGGCTAATTAGAAGAGTGGAACTCTCTAGTAAATCATTTGCCATCCGGCAAGCAGAGCTGAGACAAATTCCGGATGAGCGCCCTCCAGTGGTTTCCAGCTGTCCTGCATGGAGAGCACCTCCCCTCTCTGGTAATGGATTCATTCTCAGACATAACTCAACCCAGAGCATCACAACATCTCAGACTCAGCCCGATCCTTATTCAAGAGGCTAGATGTGAAGTGAGGAACCTCCTGTATTACTAACTCTTCCTATATTTTTACTGTCATGCAATCTACATTATATTTTATGACAGGTTATTGAAAAATTGACTGTATCGCCTGTGCCAAGAAGTAGCATGGGGTAGGAGTGGAAAGAGAAAGGGTTTTGGTGCCAGAAAGGCCTGGGTTCAAAACCCATCCTGTACCTTACCAGTTGTGGGATTTCAGCATGATTACTGAACCTCTTAGAGACCCAATTTTCCCTTCAAAAAATTGTCTGTCAGTGTTGATGGCAGGATTAAGTGACATAACATGTAAGGCTCACAGCAGTAACAACGCTTGAGAGGCAAATTAACAGATGCTCCCTTGTGAAATTTCAAACTGAATCTCTAATCTGACTTCAAGGATTAACAGAATTAAAATGCAATGGGTCTCAAATGCGCACACACACACACACACACACACACACACACACACACGCACACACACACACTCCATACTTAGAAGTATGTCAAATAATACTAATGAAAAGAGTCAATCTTTTTCACATCCCAATCTTTTCTGGTGTGAATCTTTTTTGGTTCTGATTGGTCAGAATCATATGTGGAGTGTTTTATGTCCCTGTGTCTCTCTCTTCTTGCTAAGGCTTACAGGAGCAGAACATTGTGCATTCAAGCTTCTGTTTAAAATTAATTAAAATGTGTGTACAAATTGACTATTCCCGTTTTACTAAATCTAGTAAATGGAAGCTCTAAGACTCCCACAGAAGAAAAATAAATTACCACTGCCACTAACAACTGACAAGTTAACAGGCTGATGATAAAAAAATGACACAATTTAGATTCACCTAAATGGTGTAAAGCTCGTTTTAATAATGCAGCAGAAGCCCCCACCCACCCCCAAGTTGTCTGTAAGGGATGAGATGAATTATCAGTGTTATTTACTCTGTGGGAAGTAATAGTACACACTACCTGTCCACTTGGAGCATGTAGTGGAGAGAAAACCTAGAGAAACGTTAGAGGTTGCT